AAATTCATACAAAAGACAATTTAATTTAGATTAATTAAATTGCAATATCTTGTGATCTAATAATCCAATTTTGACGATTTTAGTACTATTAGAATCGCCTCACTGAGGCAATTCTAATGGTACCAAAATCATCAAAATTGGATTATTAGATCACAAAATATTGCACTTAAATTAATCTAAATTAAATTGTCTACGAATTTAAAAGTCACTTTGTATGAATTTAAAAGTTATCTTATATGAATTTAAAAGTCATTTTGTATGAATTTAAAAGTCACTTTAATGTCAAAAGAGATAACAAAATATTTGTCTTGCACCAACATCATAATTTTTAAATTCTTCATCAGATATTCTAGAAAGTATTTATACTGAAATTCTTTGCTATTTAAATTTGGCTAAAAAACTTTGATAATAATCACTAGTATCTTTTTTTTTATCAACTAATTTTAAAAAATTATCTATAAATGGTATAAATGATCTTGCAGTATATGTTGTTTGTTCTGGAATAGAATATGTTGAAATAAGATTTGAATGTATATGTAATGGATTATAAAATAAAGATAGCATATAAAAACTTGAAAATAGAATTGATGTTGGTATATTTGGTTCTAATAGTTGTGAATTTGATGATTTTGTTTTAGATAACTGATATGCAAATAATAGATATGTTGGTGGATTTATAGAAGTAGCTAATTCTTTATTCTAAAATTAATAATAATTTTATTTAATATAAATAAATAAAATTTTATTTAAAAAAATAAATATATATTTACAATTTCTGATACCCATGTTGAAAGTATCATAAATGTAATTTCAACATGATTTTCTCTGTCTTGATTTTGATTTAAACAATGCTCGATTATATAAATTACAATAATTTGCAGTATAAATTTTTGTAAAAGTTTCTGCTATTTGAGTTTCTTCAGTTATAAGATTAGAAACTTTTGGAATATCCTTTTTATTTTTATATATTTTTAAAATATTATCATTGAATATATCAAATTCAGTATTCTAAAAATAATATTTTATTAATTTTAATATAATATTTAGTAATATATATATATTTAATAAAAAATATATACCTTTTTATATTAGTTTTAGCTAAATTTTGAGAATTTATAGTTATAAAAACTCCCATATTAACTTTTCATGTAGAAAGTCAATGATATTCTGAACAAAATTTTGTTCATCAACCAATTGAGTTCCAGTTCTCATAGTTTTTTCACCCTTAAATATATTGCTTGCTTTAATTGTTTCATTTTTTGTTAATGCAATTACATTTGTATAAATTTCTAGAAGAAATTTATCTATTTCAGATATTGTTGCCTTATACTATTTTTTTGTAAAAATTTTCTATCTAGCTTTATAAAGACTCCATAGTGAAATTCATATTCATAATCTTTTTCTACATATATATCTTCCATATTATATATGTCTTTTTCGCTAATTTTATCTGAGTCATGATTAGAGATGTGCTGTATATATTATGCAGGCGATGTTGAATACTACATAATGCTGCATTATGCGATACAAGTTGTCTAAAATTTAAAAATGCATATAGAATTTATTATATATTTTTGGTCTATATTATTTTATCAACAATCACTTTATAGAAACTTGTTTCTATCAATAGCAATAGACTGTAAAATCAAATAAAAATTTAATCTACCAGGTCTGTTTTTACTATAAAATCTAATAGTTTATGTTTTTGAATCCGATAACCTCTCAGTAATAATTCAAAGTCTATTTACTGCATATAGGTTTTAAATATCTATATTATATGCACAGGATTACATAATGTATTATGCAACATAATGCTGCATTATGTGATGCAACACCAAAAAAATTTGCATTTGCACATCTCTAGTTATAATAATATAAAAGCTTTTCTCTTCTGCTATAGTAAGGTCACATATTTCGGGTTCCAATTTAATTTTTTTAGAAGGCTTCTTATTCATCTTCTTTACTGAATTAGATAGCAATTTTTTTTTAGTG